TTTTTGGGGGTCTCGGGCTGTTTTGGGGTCTCTGAGGGGATTTTTGGGGGTCTCGGGCTGTTTTTGGGGCTCTGAGGGGATTTTGGGGGGTCTCGGGCTGTTTTTGGGGCTCTGAGGGGATTTTTGGGGTCCCCCAGGACTCGGGGGACAAGCCCAGCCCCTTCCTCAACATCTACTGCGACTACGAGCCCGGCTGCGAGTTCGACCTCGACTCCGTGGCCCGTGAGACCCCAAAAATGGGATCGGGGACCCCAAAAACGGGCTGGGACCCCAAAAAATGGGATTTGGGACCCCAAAAATGGGATTCGGGACCCCAAAAATGGGCTGGGACCCCAAAAAATGGGATTGGGGACACCAAAAATGGTCTGGGACCCCAAAAACGGGCTGGGACCCCAAAAATGGGATTGGGGACATCAAAAACGGGCTGGGACCCCAAAAAATGGGATCAGGGACCCCAAAAATGAGATCGGGGACCCCAAAAAATGGGATTGGGGACCCCAAAAATGGGATTGGGGACCCCAAAAACGGGCTGGGACCCCAAAAATGGGATCGGGGACCCCAAAAACGGGCTGGGACCCCAAAAAATGGGATTGGGGACACCAAAAATGGGGCTGGGACCCCAAAAAATGGGATTGGGGACCCCGAAAATGGGATCGGGAACCCCAAAAATGGGCTGGGACCCCAAAAAATGGGATTGGGGACCCCAAAAATGGGATCCGGGACCCCAAAAATGGGCTGGGACCCCAAAAAATGGGATTGGGGACACCAAAAATGGGATTGGGGACCCCAAAAACGGGCTGGGGCCCCAAAAATGGGATTGGGGACCCCAAAAATGGGATCGGGGACCCCAAAAACGGGCTGGGACCCCAAAAATGGGATTGGGGACCCCAAAAACGGACTGGGACCCCAAAAAATGGGGTAGGACCCCAAAAATGGGATTGGGGAGACCAAAAACGGGCTGGGGCCCCAAAAATGGGATTGGGGAGACCAAAAACGGGGCTGGGACCCCAAAAATTGGGATGAGACCCCAAAAATGGGATTTGGAGCCCAAAAGAATGGGGAAGGGATCCCAAAAATGGGTTTGGGACCCCAAAAATGGGATTGGGACCCCCAGAATTCCCCTGCCCCCCTGCAGAGAGCTGCCTGAACCTGGAGCTTCGCTTCACCCCCTTCCAGCTGTGCCACGCCCAGTGAGTGCCAAAATCCCCAAAATCCCCCCAAAAATCCTTAAAAATCCCAAAATTAAAAAAATAAAATTTAAAAAAAAAAAATTAAAAAAAATCCCCCAAAAATCCCAAAAAAAACCTGAAAAAAACCTCCCAAAAATCCCAAAAAACCCCCAAAGAAACCCCAAACGATGCTCAAAAATCCCCAAAATCCAAAAATAACCAAAAAAAAATTCCCAAAAATCCAAAAAAATCCCCAAAATCCTCAAAAAGTCTGAAAAAAAAAAAACTACTCAAAGAAACCCCAAAAAAATCCTCAAAAAGCCCAAAAATTCCCAAATCCTCCTCAAACCTGCAGGGTCCAGGTGGGGAAGCACCTGGAGACCCAAAAAATTCCAAGAAACCTCAAAAATTCCCCAAAATCCCCAAATTCCAGGGTCAGCGTGAAGGAGCACCTGGAGACCCCCCAAAAAATCCCCAAAAAACTCCAAAACAAATCCCAAAAAAATCCCCAAAATAATCATCAAGATCTCAAAAAAAAATCCCAAAAAATCCTCCAAAAAATCCCAAAAATTCCCAAAAATTCCCAAAATTCCCTTCCCAAATTTCAGGGTCCGCGTGGGGGAGCACCTGGAGACCGTTTTCCTGCTGAGTGGGAATGACCCGGCCATCCACCTGTACAGAGAGGTGAGACCCCCAAAAATGCCCCAAAATACCCCAAAATATCCCAAAAATATCCCAAATACACCCTCAAAATATCCCAAAAAATACCCCAAAAAAATCCCAAAATATACCCCAAAATATCCCAAAATATGCCCCAAAAATATCCCAAGAACACCCTAAAAATATCCCAAAATATACCCCAAAATCCCCCCAAAATTCCCCCAAATTTCCCAAAATTCCCCAAAATCCCCCAAAATTCCCCATGGAATGTCCCGGTAACTTTCCCCTTTTCCTTTTCCCCATTTTCCCCGTTTTTTCCCACTTTCCCCCATTTTTTTTTCCCATTTTTTCCCGATTTTTCCCAATTTTCCCTCTTCTCCCTTTTTCCTTTTCCCCCTTTTTCCCTTTCCCCCATTTTTTCCCGTTTTCCCCATTTTTTCCCCTTTTTTCCCAATTTTTCCCATTTCTCCCTTTTTCCTTTTCCCCTTTTTCGCCATTTTTCCCTTTTTCCCTTTTACCCCATTTCCCCCATTTTTTCCCATATTTCCCCATTTTTTCCCCTTTTTTCCCAATTTTTCCCATTTCTCCCTTTTTCCTTTTCCCCTTTTTCCCCATTTCCCCCAATTTTTCCCCATTTTTCCCTTTTACCCCATTTCCCCCATTTTTTCCCATATTTCCCCATTTTTCCTCCTTTTCCTCCCCATTTCCCCCCAGTTTTCCCCATTTTAATCCATTTTCCCCCATTTCCCCCCAGTTTTCCCCATTTTAATCCATTTTTCCCATTTTTCCCCATTTCCAGAACCCCGGCTCGCACCAGTTTGAGGAGCAGCCGATCCAGCTGCTCTTCCCGGAGCTGCAGGACGTTCCCAGCACGTACGGAGCGCTCTTCCCAAATTCCAGAATTCCCCAAATTCCCGAATTCCCCGTTTTTTGCCCCATTCCAGGGCGCTGTGGCTGGACGTTGGGTCCCGTCCCTCTCTGTATTTCCCATTTTTGACATTTTTAACCATTTTTCCCGTTTTTTGCCCCGTTCCAGGGTGCTGTGGCTGGACGTTGGGTCCCGTCCCTCTCTGTATTTCCCGTTTTTCCCGTTTTTAACCATTTTCCCCGTTTTTTGCCCCGTTCCAGGGTGCTGTGGCTGGACGTTGGGTCCCGTCCCTCTCTGTATTTCCCATTTTTGACATTTTTAACCATTTTCCCGTTTTTTGCCCCGTTCCAGGGCGCTGTGGCTGGACGTTGGGTCCCGTCTCTGTCTGTATTTCCCATTTTTCCCATTTTTAACCGATTTCCCGGTTTTTTCTCCCGTTCCAGGGTGCTGTGGCTGGACGTTGGGTCCCGTCTCTGTCGGTATTTCCCATTTTTGACATTTTTAACCATTTTTCCCGTTTTTTGCCCCGTTCCAGGGTGCTGTGGCTGGACGTTGGGTCCCGTCTCTGTCTGTATTTCCCATTTTTGACATTTTTAACCATTTTTCCCGTTTTTTGCCCCATTTCAGGGCGCTGTGGCTGGACGTTGGGTCCCGTCTCTGTCTGTATTTCCCATTTTTCCCGATTTTAACCAATTTCCCGGTTTTTTGCCCCGTTCCAGGGTGCTGTGGCTGGACGTTGGGTCCCGTCTCTGTCTGTATTTCCCGTTTTTCCCGTTTTTAACCGATTNCGTTGGGTCCCGTCTCTGTCTGTATTTCCCGTTTTTCCCGTTTTTAACCGATTTCCCGGTTTTTTGCCCCGTTCCAGGGTGCTGTGGCTGGACGTGCGCCCCGTGCCCGGCTCGGGCCATCGTCTCTCGGCGCTCGGCTGCCAGAGCGGATTCGTGCGGGCGGCGCGCGTGCACGAGGCCTCGCGCGGTGAGGCGCCCTGACGCCGATCCCGGAATTCCCGAAATCCCCAATTCCCAAAATTCACCAAATTCCAGTTCCCAAAATTCACAAAATTCACAAAATTCCCAAATTCCAATTCCCAAAATTCACCAAATTCCCGGAATTCCCGAAATTCCCAAAATTCACCAAATTCCAATTCCCCAATTCCCAAAATTCACCAAATTCCGGAATTCCAATTCCCAAAATTCACCAAATTCACCAAATTCCCGGAATTCCCGAACTCCAATTCCCAAAATTCACCAAATTCCCGAATTCCAGTTCCCAAAATTCCCGGAATTCCAATTCCCGAAATTCACCAAATTCCCGAATTCCAATTCCCAAAATTCACCAAATTCCCGGAATTCCCAAACTCCAATTCCCAAAATTCACCAAATTCTCGAACTCCAGTTCCCAAAATTCACCAAATTCCCGAATTCCAGTTCCCAAAATTCACAAAATTCACAAAATTCCCAAATTCCAATTCCCAAAATTCACCAAATTCACCAAATTCCAATTCCCAAAATTCCCGGAATCCCAATTCCCAAAATTCCCGGAATTCCAATTCCCAAAATTCCCGAAATTCCCAGAATCCCAATTCCCAAAATTCACAAAATTCCAATTCCCAAAATTCACAAAATTCCCAAATTCCCGGAATCCCAATTCCCAAAATTCCCAGAATTCCAATTCCCGAAATTCACCAAATTCCCGGAATTCCAATTCCCGAAATTCACCAAATTCCCAAACTCCAGTTCCCAAAATTCACCAAATTCTCGAACTCCAGTTCCCAAAATTCACCAAATTCCCGAATTCCAGTTCCCAAAATTCCCGGAATTCCAATTCCCGAAATTCCCAAAATTCACCAAATTCACGAATTCCAATTCCCAAAATTCACCAAATTCCTGAATTCCAGTTCCCAAAATTCCCGGAATTCCAATTCCCGAAATTCACCAAATTCCCGAATTCCAGTTCCCAAAATTCACCAAATTCACGAAATTCCCGGAATTCCAATTCCCGAAATTCACAAAATTCCCGAATTCCAATTCCCGAAATTCACAAAATTCACCAAATTCCCAGAATTCCAATTCCCGAAATTCACCAAATGCACCAAATTCCCGGAATTCCAATTCACAAAATTCCCAAAATTCCCAAAATTCCAATTTCCGAAATTCACCAAATTCCCGAAATTCCAGTTCCCAAAATTCCCGGAATTCCAATTCCCGAAATTCCCAAAATTCACCAAATTCACGAATTCCAGTTCCCAAAATTCACAAAATTCACCAAATTCCCGAATTCCAATTCCCAAAATTCACCAAATTCCCAACTCCCCAAATGCCAATTCCCAAAATTCACCAAATTCCCGGAATTCCAATTCCCGAAATTCACAAAATTCACCAAATTCCCGGAATTCCAATTCCCGAAATGCCCAGAATTCCCGAACTCCAATGCCCAAAATTCACAAAATTCCCAAAATTCCAATTCCCAAAATTCACCAAATTCCCAACTCCCCAAATGCCAATTCCCCGATTCCCCAAATTCACAAATTCCCCAAATTCCCCAAATTGCAATTTCCCAAAATTCCCGGAATTCCCAAAATTCCAATTCCCAAAATTGCTGAAATTCCCAACTCCCAATTCCCAAAATTCCCAAATTCCAATTCACAAACTCCCAAAATTCCCGGAATTCCCAAAATTCCAATTCCCAAAATTGCTGAAATTCCCAACTCCCCAAATGCCAATTCCCCGATTCCCCAAATTCACAAATTCCAAATTCAAAAGTTCACAAATTCCCCAAATTCCCCAAATTGCAATTTCCCAAAATTCCCAAATTCCCAATTCCCCAAATTCCCAGATTCCCGAAATTCCCAATTTTCAATTCCCAAAATTCCTGAAATTCCCAAATTCCCAAAATTCCCAATTCCCAATTTCCCCAAAATTCCATTTTTCCCTATAATTTCCCAAAATCGCCGTTTTTCACCCCATTGTTGCAGCAGTGGAGCATGCAGCAATCTCCTTTTCCCCCCATTTTTCCCCATTTCCCAGCCCCAAAATCCCCTTTTTTTGCCTCATTTCCCCACAATTTCCCCACAATTTCCCCACAATTTCCCCAAATCCCATTTTTCGCCCGGATTTTCCCAAAATCGCCGTTTTTGGCCCCGTTTTGCAGTGGTGCTGCAGAGCTGGAGCGTGCAGCAATCTCCTTTTCCCCCCATTTTTCCCCATTTCCTGGCCCCAAAATCCCCTTTTTTTGCCCTGTTTTTCCCAAAATCCCGGGGTTTTTTTCCCAATTTTCCCCCAAATCCCATTTTTTCGCCCGGATTTTCCCAAAATCGCCGTTTTTCACCCCGTTTCGCAGCGGTGCTGCAGAGCTGGAGCGTGCAGCAGGACGGGCCCGTCTCGGCCGTGCTGCTCTTCCCGCTGCCCCCGGCCGGCCACGGTGAGCCAGAAACGGGGCAAAAAACGGGAAAAACGGGAAAAACGGGGAATAAACCGGGAAAAAACGGGAAAAAATGGAGTAAAACGGGGGAAATTGGGGCGAAAATGGGAAAAAAATGGGAAAATGTGGGAGGGAAATGGGGGAAAAAGGGGGAAAATGGGAAAAATTGGGGGGAAATCAGGGGGAAATGGGAAAAAAGGGAAAAATGGGAAAAATTGGGGGGAAAAGGGAAGAAAATGGGGGGAAATGGGGAAAATTGGGGGGAAACCGGGGGAAATGGGAAAAAAGGGAAAAATGGGAAAAATTGGGGAGAAAAGGGGAAAAATTGAGGGAAATGGGAAAAAATGGGGGAAAATTGGGGGAAAATGGGGGATAAAAGGGGGAAAAGGGGAAAATTGAGGGAAAAATGGGAAAAATTAGGGGGAAAAAGTGGGGAAATGATAAAAAATGGGGTGAAATGGGAAAAATGTGGGGAAAATGGGGGGGAAAGGGGAAAATTGATAAAAATCTGAGAAAATTATAGAAAAAAGGGGGAAAAACAGAAAAAATGAAAAAAAAAGGGAAAAAACGGATAAAAACCATGGGGAAATGGGGAAAAAAAGGAAAAAAACAAGGGGAAAACAGAAAAAGGTGTGTAAAATATTGGGAAAAATGGAAAAAATTGAGAAAATTTCAGAAAAAATGGGGAAAAAGGGAAAAAAATGGGGGAGGAAAAGGGAAAAAAACAGGGAAAAAATGGGGAAAAATTGGGAAAAAATGGTGGTGAAAAATCAGGAAAATATTGGGAAAACCTGGGAAAAGGCAGAATTCCCAAAATTGCCCAATTTTCCCAAAAAATCCCCGAAATTCCCGATTTTCCTGCAGAGGACCCCGAGGACTCCTGGAACCTCCTGGTGAGCAGCGCCCTGGAGGCGGCCGTGGTTTATCGGTGAGCCCCAAAATCCCCAACATTCCCCCAAAAATTCCTAAAATTCTGCCAAAAAATCCCCAAAAAAATCCCCCAAAAATCCCCAAAATTCTGCCAAAAAATTCCCACTAAAATTCTGCCAAAAAATCCCAAAAAATTCCCCCAAAATTTCCCCAAAATCCCCACAAATTCTGCCCGAAAATCCCCAAAAATAAATTCCCCCCAAAATCCCCAAAAATTCTGCCAAAAAAATTCCCAAAAATTACCCCAATTATTCCCCAAAATTCTTCGGGATTTTTATGGAATGCCTGGGATTTTGTTGGGATTTTTGGCATTTGGTTGGGATTTTTTCGATATTTTTTGGGATTTTCCCAGGAATATCAGGATTTTTTGGGATTTTTCCTGGGAATATCAGGATTTTTTGGGATTCTTTGGGATTTTTTGGGAATCTCAGGATTTTTGGGAACCCCCGCAGGCGCCTGCTCCGGTGCGGGCTCTTGGTCAGGATTTTGGGGATTTTTTGGGAATTTCCCGGGATTTTGGGTTTTTGGGACAGGTGCCTGCTCCGGCGCGGGCTCTCGGTCAGGATTTTGGGAATTTCCCGGGAAATCCCAGGATTTTTGGGATGTTTTGGGACAGGTGCCTGCTCCGGCGCGGGCTCTCGGTCAGGATTTTGGGGATTTTTTGGGATTTTTCGGGAATTTCCCGGGATTTTTGGGATGTTTTGGGACAGGTGCCTGCTCCGGCGCGGGCTCTCGGTCAGGATTTTGGGGATTTTTTGGGAATTTCCCGGGATTTTTGGG